TCCACTGGTTTCTCTCCTGACCTCTTCTGTAAGCTTCTCTCTTTCTCAGCCGACAGTCAGGAGCAGAGAGACAATCGGTTTAATTTAAAGTGATGGCAGGATGGCGATACTGAGGGCAGACACATTATCTATGGAGTCTCGCTCTAATGATGAAGTCTCCACTTCTTTCCCAAGCTCCTCGATCTTTTGGTACGACCCCCGCTGAGCCAGAAAACAGATCCATTTTATTCAGACTCTCATTAAGGCTCGACAGAAGCTGCCTGCTCACCTTTTTCATCTTATAAAACTCTCACCTAATGACTTCATCCATTTTTCATTCTTCCCCTCAGTAACCACATCGACAGCCTGCCCAACGACCCAATCCCAAAATGACAGGAATTTAGGAGCCTTCTCTCCCGTCATTATCTACACTTTTCATCCCTCTTATATTTCTTTCTGCGAGAGAGAAGATAGACCGGAGCTCTGGACACAGCAGAAGAATCATTTTAGTTTAATGGAGTCGATCGATCACTAGTGGAATGGCTCAAAGACGGGATGTAAGTCTGTCACGTCAAATCTGATTTTGTTTCATCTTAACGTGCAAAATTACCACTAACGAGCCAGACAGTTGATGAGTCAACTCTAGATAAAGTTCCCATTAAATGGCTGGTGGAGTTTGTTTCCCCATATTTACATTTCCTGTAAAAACAGAAAGCTGCTCTGATTGGTCAGCTCCTCTTACCTGAGCAGGCCCCGCCCACATTTCTACATTAAGGCCCCATTTATGGTGATATTTTAATGCGTTTGGGCCTTTGCTTTACACGTAAACAAAGCTGCAAGTCACCGAAAACGATCATGTCTGAAAACTCCGTCTTCACGTTTGCATGTAGACCAGAGGAGGCGGAGTTTGACGTCACCAGTGTGCGTCAAAAGCGTCACATGTGTGCGACCATGTTTACAGTTTGGCTGCTGTGGTAGAAAGTCAATATTTTCAGGCATTTTACTTGTTTTGTCCTGTAACATCACATTCAGGAGCAGCTCCACTCCTCTGTCGGGCCAAACAAACGACCCTCGCGCCGTTATCGTTGAAGTAACAGGAAGTCATTTGTGCCATTCGTTGTTGTGTTTTTTCCAGGATTCTGATTGGCTAGCATGGCTTTATGCTTCTCGCTACACTGCCCCCTACAGGTCTGGCAGCTCATAGCAGCTCTTAACGGCGTGTTTATGTGGGTTTGTGTAAACAAGATTTATTTGTGAACAATGTTGTTTTTGAAAGCGTAGATCTGTTTTTGTAAATAACCGGCTACGTGTCAACATGGCAGAAGTCTGCAGTTGTTTATGGAACCAGAGAAGCTACGAGCTCAACATGGAGAACATTTTTGTTCACTCGCCATTTCAAATCAGCCAAAGGTTTAGGTGTCATATTGGATTATTTAAAGTGGGGTTATATGAGGTGTCTAACTACAATCAGTGTATTTCCTCCTGTAGATTGCTGTCAGCAAACAGTAATTTCACTTTTTTTCACAGCAGTAGCTCATCTGTTGGTCTGTGAAATTGGTGTTTTCACATTATTTCAATTAAAACACCAGAGTCACACAATGACACAAACAATCTAACTGAGTGAGGCGACGGTAGACCAGAAACTCCCATAATCTGACAGATAAAATCACTGTTTTTATCGGTGGAGTCTGGCGGCTTTGAAGAGAGTGATGCAACAGCTTCGCTTCCTCGTCGGGATGCGGTTTGTGTCGTCAAGGTGAATCGGTGAAAGTGTCTCAACCACAGCATACCAAGACAATCAGATTTTTTTCCAGTAACTATTATACTGAATGAGATGGACAGTGGACGCCGGGCATCACGAGTTTAAACTACACTTTAAAGAGACACTAGAGGTGAACATTTTAACTGATAGATATCATCATGAAACTTCTCTGTTTAATTACTTAGATTAAAACTATTATTTTTGTATTAAAGTCCAATATTTAGTCATTAATTACATAAATGTTTAAAGACCCAGAACAAGTCTGAGCCAAAGACAAAGCCACGTTTAAAAATCCCTTCGCTTCTGTTGACATGTTAGAATCAAAGGTTTTTACTGAGGGGAGTCTATTTTTTATCACTCCATACATTCAATAGCCAGAGAAATATGAATGTTTGCCACCTTTTTAGGATTTATAAATCAAACTTCCTTGCCTCTATAAAATCCTAAAGAATTTAGACACGAATAAAGAACATTTCTGGCTCAATTAGAGAATAAATTGGTTTTGAGAAACTGGCATTCAAAGTTACTCATTGTGAAATTACCACAACGAAACTTTCTCTGTTGATTACTGACATTCACAGAGTGTACGACAGACTATGGATAGAGAAATTATGTGTGTCTTGTGGACTTGGGGAAATTGCTCCTTGTTGGTTTAGAGTAATTGCAGCAAATATTGCGGGTTGAGTGGAAGTTTGAATAACTGTCTACTGTGGTGGACATCGAGCATGAAAGGATTAATCCGGTATTGATTGTGTGGCGGACAGCAACTGGCAGAATTTAGAGTTGGGCGGGAGGAGAGGGAGGGACGTAAATAAGAGCAAGCGTTCATCGGAAACAAAATGAGGATGTGCCCCCGAGACCGCGACGTGTTTTATTGTTTTCCAGGAAATGAAAAATCCTAATTTCAGAGCAGTTTTCCTGAGTGACCTTTGAGTCTCATTTTTGAATTTTCCTATCATCAGAGCCCTCCGATGCCCCGGCGGTCACCGCGTTTCTGTACAGTCGCCACAGTGTTGTTCTGGTCCGTGATGAGGTTAATGGAAGAGGCTCGGTGTCCGTGTCCCTCCGCTCTGCGGTGATACAACAGACTGGTTCTGCTCAGGAAATCCAGTTACGATCACTGAACCGTGAAGCGCTCTGTCTCCGTCCATCCTGATACTATTAACTGCAACTGTATGTTCTCTTCACTCACTCAGAAAATGATTCATCCCCTTGTTCAATAACATCCAGTTTACCGGGTTCTCATTGAGAAAACATGAATGCAGTTATGCGACATTAATTCTTTGGTGTTGGGTTATATTAGTTGTGTGTCCTTCATTTTCTTAGTTTGTCTCGGTTGTTTTGTTGCTGCTTCTCGTTGTACTTTGTAATTGAGTTAGCTTAGAAGGCAGTGAAGCTTCAAAAAAACACCAGATAGCCTCACAGCCTGATGTAATGTGAGGAGTCTCTGAGTAAACAGCAGTACAACAGGTATGAGCGTAATGAACAAGAGACATTTCAGAGCTAAAACAATGATTACTTCATTCAACTGACGTATGCTTTTCATGCATGTGACCAATTCATCACTAATTCACTTTGATAAAGACACCGGCATGCATGCGGCACAATATCATTCATTTCGCTCACTTTAACCTAAAGATCAGAACCTTCCTGACGTCAAACGCTGGTAAAATGAACCAGAAGAACAAACCTCTGGGGGTTTAAAAGCAGCCAGCAGTGGCCACCTTCCATCTGTTTTCTTATTATTCTTATTAATAGGATGATTGATAAATGAAGACCTGACAAATTTTAATCTCAGCTGACCTTGAGCAAGAGGTAGAGCTCAATAAATCCAGTTATTATTTCCACACTGTGAAGCGCTTTGCTCATCTCGCATTAATATGACTGCAAATGAATGTTCTGTCCAGTGAGGAGCAGCTCATTCAGCAAACGATTCATTCAGTTGTTCATTTAGATTGAGAACAGATTCTGAATGGTTGGAAAACCTGAGTGCAGTAGTGCAACATTATTTAAATAATGATCACGTCTGTTTGGTTGTCTTGAACATTATTGTTCATTCGGGACAAACAGTAAAACATTTTGTTGTAGTTCCCATTTTGAAACCTGACTTTTTTGTAGTTTTAGCTTCATTTTTGTTGCAATACAAAATAAAAAATGAGCGTTTCAACACCTAAGTTGCCTTCATGGACACTCCATCAGACAGCTGGCAAGCTAGCTAGCCTTTACATTGATGTACAATCTTGAGAACAAAACACCAAGGAGGAATAAATGGCATAAAACTGAGGAAATAGGAACGAGCCTGGAGAGCTATTGTGACTGACTAACACTCGTGTGTCAGCCGTTAGCTCCCCAGCTACAGTAGATCGCTAACCCTGCGAGCACTTCCTGCATCATGTCTCAAACGTGACCTATTTCACAAAGACATGGGGACGTACAGTAATTCACTGTGACTCTTATTGGTGTGACAGAGCCTCACCGCTCACTCTCCTGCTACTGATTTGTCTTCTTAAAGCTGATGATACAAGCTACATGCTACAGAGAGAACTATGAGCTACTGCTGGAGAAACAGTCTTGGTATGTGAAAGAAAACCCTTTCACAACACTGACGAGCTAAGCCTTAGCCTGACAGGATGCATGAAGTTCCACATCTGTTGCACACATTATTTGAAATATGTTAAAGTTAATATTTTGCCAGCACTTTAGGAGGAGTAAGTAGCACAATTGCAAACAATGGCCTGTTGGATTGACTGCTCCGTGAACAGCGAGGCGCTAAAGGTTTAGGAACCAAATTTGAGCTGTAACACCAAAATGGCCCAATCAGCATGCGGCTTCTCCTCCAACTGTGAGCAATCAGTAGAAAGTGGCGTGATTGCACCGTTTCAAAAAAACGAAGCTACTGGTAACACATATGTAAATGACACAATTACACCGAATGTAAATCAGAGTTTCTCCTCACATTTGCCGGCAAAGCCAAGCAGACTGTATTCCGTTCACTTATTTGATCTATTCATGTCCTACTCACTTATTCCTATCGTGGTTGTGGAGACACGTCTACCAAATTATCATCATGCGTATGAAACCGTGGTTTTAACGGACTGAGCGTGGTTGTCCATTCACACATGTAATTGCTTTAAAATAGGGAGGAGGCCTCATCACATGCTTAATTCATATCAGAGAAATGTCTGAACTGGAGAATGTCTGAGGATTTTTGGTTACTGCGTTGCCCTCGTTGCCCCTAAGTGGTCCAACCTGCACCTACCAGGTCTGCTCGGCTTGCTGACTGGGCCAGTCCAGGCGACACATGTGGCCCACAGTGACGTTGGCCTTTGGGAAAGACTTGAGGGCGCTGAACACCGGATAGGGCACCATGATTAGCAGCGACACCACCCAGGTAGCGGCGATGACGCGGTAAGCGTGGGATCGGGTCTGCCACGCACGGGACTTGAGCGGGTTGCAGATGGCGCTGTACCTCTCGATGGCGATGGCCACCAGGCTGAAGGTGGAGATGCTGACGGAGACCCCTGCAGGACAGAGACGGGATTAGAAAGCTTTCACAGAGCCAGTCGATACTTTTAGTGATCCCTTGACAGTTCTTCTAATGATATCACCAAGCAGCTCATTGGTTTTAAACAACAAATCTAATGGACAGACACTCAATTTACTATTTATCCCCCCTAGAGGATCAAAGCTTTCTCTTTTTGACTCCACTTCCACCCTAAGGACCAAACACTGCACACATTAATGCTGATAAACTAATCAAACCATCGTAGCTATGCACAGATACTATAGAAAGTAAAAAAAATGGATGAAAATGTGATGAAAACAGCAGGAAGCCTCTGAGTTCAGACATGCAGGCGAAGTTAATCGGTGACTCTGCTCATAGGAATGAACATGACTGTGAATGATGGTCTGTCTCCACACTGATCAGCCATAACATAAAAATAACGTTGATCACCTTGATACACAGCGATATTTTGTTGGAAAATTCTGGCATTAATGTTGGATTTTCTTTTGTCAAACCCAGTGGAAGGGTCGGGATGGTTTTGGCAGCACAAGGCCAATATTAGCCATGTGGTTTTAACGTGTGGCTGATGTTTGATGGGCTCCCGCTTGAGAATCATTGAAGACTGTTAGAAAACTCCTGAGATCGAGGAGGGATCCCGAAATAAAACAAACTCCTCAGCAGAAGCGATTCATGGAACAGACATTCTCGTGGATTAATCGCAGCAACTGGACTTGCTTGAGTTCCTTGATGATGTTCCACCTCTCATCCAAGAGGCTTCATCAGTTCTGACTGAGTCAGTTGGGAGTTCCACATACTGATATCCTTAAGGAGCCATTAATGGTTTGAGGGGTGAAAAAATCTATGTCAAACTGGAAAGACCATCCCTCAACAGAGGTGGAGGTCTGAGGCATCACCTCTCACCTGTTTACAATTCAGTCCAAAGATCTCTCTCCAGGAAGATGAAACCACATTCACACCTAGACACAAAGACCCTAACGAACCCCACTGTGGCAGGGGGAGCACTAACGACCCACATAACGAAGGGGAGGAGCAACAAACCCCCAACTGAAACTCAGGTGCTAGTGGCTTTTTAAGGTTATCAGTATCTGGAACTCCCAACTAGTCAGTCAGAACTGATGAAGCCTCTTGGATGAGAGGTGGAACGTCTTCAAGGAACTCAAGCAGGTCCAGTTGCTACGATTAAACTACGAGAACAACCATGACCTGGATGACTGAGAATCTTCAGACATATCAGCTGCACCAACTGAACTATCACCACAGTTCAAGCAGCTTTAATCAAGATGTTGAATTTATTTAGTTCCAGATTCACTCAGTTAAAAGTCTGGAATCTAAAGGGCTAACTGAAAACATTTTTCTCCTCCTCTTCTCATGATTTCTTTCCATTTTGATCCCAGTGATGAATAATATTATAGTCGGAGAGGCGAGAGGCAGAAGCACCGTTATTATCCAAACATTAAAAAACCCTGTTCACATGGAAGTAAATGTCCACACGAATTAGTATTTTGACAGTCTGCGTATGAGCAAACACAAGATTCAGACCAACATAAGTCAGAACCGAGCTCTAAAGTCCATCTGACAGCCGATCAGGATGTTCCACCGTCATCAGTTGAAGGTTCAAAAAAAGGAAGAACAACCTTGTTACTTCCATGAAGTGAGGGAACTGCTGATGCACTTAAAGGAGCTGGGATGTACCGGAGATCCGTTCTAACCCCCCAGAAAACCAAACCTACACAGGTAAAGCTAATGCAGGAGATTTATTAAATAATGTCTTTAGGAGAAGCTCATTGTCTCCCCTTGTTGCTACAGATACAACCTCTATAAAGCCCTTGATTTCTTTATGTATAATTAGAATATTAACAACAACAAAACGGATGGAAAGTAGCCACAGAGGTTTGTTCTGCTGTTTCCTTTATCAGCGTCTGACATCAGGAAGGTTCTGATCTTCAGGTTAAAGTCAGCGAAGTTAACAATGTCGTGCCTCAGTGGTGAACACAGGCAGGTGCCTTTATTAAAGTGAATTAGTGATGAATCGCCCACACGCATGAAAAGAATGCTGTCAATATTTCAAGAGGGCCCTCCTAAAACTTCACAAACCAGCTTTTCAGGGGCGCTCATGGCTTATTAAGAGACTCCTGTAGTTCCATCCTGGTGGGCAGTGAAAGTGCAACAACGTGAAGAACTGTCTCGTATCTTAGTTTGATCTTTAATCATATTTTGTATGTACGGAAGCAGCCAGAAATGTTCTTAAAACTTTGCAATAACGTCTGATTCAGCCGTTCAGAGGGAGGAATGTTGAACACTGAGATGGCAATTTGGACATTCAGCAGATGGAGCAACATCAGCCGCAGTCGAATATTTACTGTTTTTTTGGCGTCCGCTAACTCCTGGGGGAAATATGCAGCTCTTCAGCTCCTAAACGCTGCACTATGCTCGCTGTACAGTCAGTTTATCAGAGCGCTCTGTGTGCTGAAAATAGCAACCTGTTGAGGCGATGCTTTGAGAGGAAAACTAGATCAGATGTTAATGCAAAAATATTGAGTAAATAAACAGTTTAAAGACATCACAGCAGCCACAAAGAACATACCCTGGGAGTACAAGGACGTCCCTGTTACAAGTAAAGGCTCCATCACCACCACGTCAGTCAAATGAGGAAGACGATGTGTTATCCATCTTCTCTCATTTAGACTCTATTATTATTCAAGGAGCCTGTCCGTATTGGGTTAAATTTCTTCAGAGACAATCCAAGGCCAAGTTGCATTTGCATGTATGAATATGCATAAAGCTGCAGTGGGGGAGCTCAGCCGGTGTTGTGAGGCTGAGTCAGGGTGAGACAAATAGAATTATTACACCCATACCTGCATCCCACAAACAGCTACAAAGCAGGCTGCCCCCAGGAAGAAATAAATCCACCACGCTGATCCTCCTCCGTCGCTACGGGAAGCAACAACCTCAATCCAGCGTTTCACTCTGACATATTAATCCCCGTTAATTGTTCCTCCACGAAGGAGCAACACATCCCGTCACAGCTCTGCATTATAATTCAAGGGAGGAAGTCATTGTGTGTCCTCCTCCCAGCGCGCTGCCGTTTAGTTTTTCAGGCTTTTCAGGGGTGAACCGCTCTCGGTTAGTCAGAAACTGTTTAGGTTAAGGCCGTTGTCATAAAAACTTTAGATCTGTGATAAACTTTGTTATCAGAATCTAAAAGTTTACTGATTTATTACCTATTGCCAACTGGGGGGGACAAAACAAAAAGATGGCAACCTCGAGAAGAGAGCAGAGCGAACGGCGGCGGGGATATCTGGTGTGGGATTTGATGTGGAGTCTGATAGCGGCGGCTTTATCTTACTCCTGCACCGACAGAACAAAGGAGCTGACTTGTACAGATACTCGAGAACAAAGAGAACATCAGCGTCACAAAAAGGAGTCTGAATGCCTTTTCTGCTCCGCGAGCAGAGGCTCTGTTGTGCATTATTAAAAGCGTTTTCTGCTCTTTGTGAGACGGGTAATTTTTTTTGATTGCTGCTCCACTGACATGAAACCTGACAGGATCCTGCATCAAACTGAAGCCATCGGGCCGCTGTCTCCCCGACTAATTACATATTCTAGCTCTTGTTGCATGCTCACTGTTACAGTCCTCAGCGCTGGGAGTTTTTTTTTTTTTAAACTGGGAGGTGTGTCTCCCCAGTGGGGTGAAGGAGAGGTCGGAGCATAGGACACAGATGGAGAAACACGAGGCGAGGGTACTGCAGCGAAAGTGAAAGAGACAAGTGTAGGTTGTGTTTAAAGAACAACACAAAGTTAGCGAGCGTTGTCAGGAGGTTGCTGCACATGTTGAGTGTTGTTTTAACATGTCACAGCTTCACCGGAGATGCGTCGCAGATAACTGTAATCCAGCTCCTCCTTGTCAAGAAGAACATTTCAGATGATCCAGCACCATGTCACTTTCTCATCCCACATGCCTTTAACTCGGTTTTAACTCGTCAGAATATGTTGCAGGAACTTTAAACTGATTTGGAGTTTCAACAGAGCTAAATGATGATGATCTGTAGTTACGTCACATTCGAGAAACCATTTTACCGCAAAGTCCGACCAGACTGAGGTTGAATTCGTAGTAAATCTCCATCACGAGCCTCCGATGAAAGAAGCTCTCGTGCTCCCCAAACTCCTCTATCTGTTAATCTTCTAACCATCTGATCCACCACAGCAGCTGCCGTTCGTACCGTTAACACTGTTCAACATGCTTGGATGTCCAAAAGGAAGCCTCATGAGCAGCGTCCCAACAGTTGAGATGACATCTAAGACATCTACAGCGACTAAACCGATGTGTCACGCTGTCATTTTGACTTGTCAGAATGATGTTATAGATATCTGCTGTATGCTTTCAAACTTCCTAAGTTGTTCAACCGATTATTCCCTTTTTCTGTTTTGTCACACTTGTTTGGATTATTGCTGGAGACTCTTTCGAGCTGCACCATCTCTGGACTCCCTGGTTCGGAGACTTCTGCTCTGTTGTTTTTTTCTTTGGTTTGTGCCGCTGCCACTTTTGTTTGGCGGGAACAATGACGAACAGACGTCCCCGCAGAAACCCGAGGAGGGAACGAGCTGACAAGAAGGAGATATGAGCTCCCTTCTTCCATCACGGGCCGTGTGAAATCGCCGGACAATAAGACGGAGGAGTTAACGGGCCTAGTGAGGAATTAAGGAGACTTCTGTGAGTGTGCTGTTAGAGACGAGATTAAATCCACCTCATTGTTACCAGCGGTGGCTTTCAGACAGTTGGGGCAGACAGGAATAGGTCTAGCTGTGAAATAGAATAAAGGTGGAGGGCTTGTGGCTTTTATTAACAGGAAATGGGGTCAGTCTGGTCACATTTTCTATATTTCTCCATCCTGACCTGTTAGCAGCGGGGCTACAGCATGACGTCTTGGTTGTTGTTCAGACTCTCTGTTGGATTTCTTACATACTTGAGCAACGATTTTCCTAAAACAGGCCGAG